AAAAAAAAAAAAAAAAAAACGTCACTAACAAGTTGCAAAAGCGCGTCGAAACGGTCTTCTTTTTTGTGAACTAAAACACAAAGATCCGACGCTTGGAGCTTTAATTCAATGAAACCGCTTTCTGTTCCAGGAGGAAACACAGTACGGAGAAACGGAGACGATCCTGAATCGGAGCAACGACGTGAAGTCCAGGGCGACGAAATGGCAGAATAACAACGTGGAGAACAACTGTCAACAGCCGGTTCGACAACAGGACGACCCCTCGGACGAAACCAAGAAAGACAAGGACAAGTTCGAGCGCCAAAAGTCGTGGGAGGATCAACGAATGGAGGAAATTCTGGAGAACGAGAGGAAGAACAGCAAGAACGAGATCAACGCGAAACTGAACAACCAGGAGAATTATGAGAATGTTGTCATGGAAACGAGAAAGTCCAATCCGGTGGATGACAATCCGCGAAAGATCAAGAGGATCGACTTGAAGGCCTACGGATTCGAAAATGAATTCTTCTCCGGCAAAACGACCAGAACCTCCGCGCCGAGGGTCGTCAATAAACTGGACCTGAAGTCTTTCGGTTACGACAATGGAATTCGACGGACACAGTCGAATATTCAGTTGAACAGTGTAGGGAGCGACGAGTTCAAAGCGAGGTTCGTCAGGGCAACGAACAAGTCGAATTTAACACGACGAAACGAGTACGAGCAGGATCGCCGCGACATCATCGAGAGCAATCTGCGTGCCTCCGGCGAGAACAATCTGACACAGAGTACGGAAACTTTGAACAAGTTCGAGAACGGCAGCTACAACGATTTTGGATTGAAGTCGGCAAAATCGGTGCCAAACATCGCCAAATTCTATTCGAACTCGAACGGCCAAGAGGATGAGGAGGTGGAGAGCTACAGTCAGAATTCGTACAACGAGTTCGGTGTGATAAAGAACGGATCGGTGAGGAACATCGCGAATAATTACGGTTTGGAGAAGTACAACGTTAAAAGTAACGATTCGTCGATCGACGTTTCGGAGAACGAGACGGACAACTCCTCCGAGAGGGAACAGAGTCACCGATCGATGAGTGACGTCAAGAAGAGAATTTTAAGCGACGAAGAATTTGACAACAAGGTGCTGCCGATGCCATCGGTCAGGAGGCTCGCTGAAGCATTCAGCAAACAGACCGTGCCCGTTTCTGCCCCTATTTCGAAGGTAAGACTGCATTCTTGACTAATCGATATACAGAATGTATATCACGAAATTCTAAGAGAAGGATGCCAAAATTTTTCAAAATGATTTCTCCTAAAACAGAATATCAGGCCGTTCGATAATTTCAGAGATGATACGATTTAATTAAGCTTTGCGGAATTGTATAACTGGAGGTGATTTTCATTGTTTCTTACTAGGTAACCAAGTCGAGCAACGTGAATAAAGAGAGATCGTCAACGCCAGAGATCCAGATAGTTGAAACGCCGAGACAGATGCACAGCCTGACCGCCCGATCGCTTTCGAAACAATTTCGTGAAGGCCTGAGGCAAATTCCGAACAAAGTGACTTCACCTCCGGCTAGTCACGTCGTTATGGAGCAACCAAACATAACGGAGAATCAAATGGAAGTAGTGCAAGCAAAGAGCGACTTGTCCAACGACACGAACGTAATTCTACCTGGAAAACTGAAGTCGAATATAATATTTTGGGAACAGATGCAGAAGAAAAGTTAAAGCGTATTTATTCGCTCAAAATTGGCTCTAATTGATGTTTTATTGAAAAGAAAGAGAGAGAAAGTTAATTTAGAATTCGAATTAAACTAACGTGTCAAATAAAAAGCGTGTAGATAAAGAATATAAAGAAATCCAAATAACTTGATCTTGTTTTTCATAGAGAGCGATAGAAATTATGTTATTTTCGATAAATTAGAATTTT